AGTAAACGCATGCCCAACGAAAAGGTAGCCACTTCCATCTACATGTGCGAGCCCTATGCTCTGTGCGAAGCCTTGAACTATTGGAAACACTATCTGTTGGGATGCCGTTTGAAGGTCTTCTCAGATCATGAGACCTTGAAATGGATCAAGGAACAAACCACCCTGTCCCCCACGTTGACTCGTTGGTTCCATGAAATTGACATTTTTGACTTTGAACTAAAACACAAAAAGGGTTGTTATAATTGAGTTGTTAATGCATTGTCTCACCACACCGAGTATATGATTTGCCTTGTAAACTCCTACGACCTCCGGAAGAAATTGAAGGAGGAACTTGTGGAGCAAACTGCCAAGAACCCGGACCTTAGCCCGATCCTTGAGCAGCTACGGGCTGACCCCAACAGTCAGCCTGATTTTCACGGATCAAGGATTGGTTTTTCGACGCTATGGAAAAAATGACGGTTTGTGTACACCAAACCATATGGCTCATGGCCGGAGTGGACACTTCGGCATGGCGAAAACTTACGAAAACCTGTTACAACAATTTGACTGGCCTGATATGAAAAGATCTGCTGAAAAGTTTTTGGCTGAGTGTCAAGGCTATCACCGAATCAAACCATCCAGACAAAAGCCCATGGGCCTGCTTAAACCTCTTCCCATTCCCAACGGTCCCAGAGAGTTTGGCTCTATCGACTTAACGGACATGGAAAAGACGGGTAAGAATGGATATTCACAAGTGATGGTTATTGTTGATCGATTTTTCAAATTCATGAATCTGATTTCATTGCCACCTCATGACCCAATTGAACTTGTGATCCGTGAGTTCCACTTGAAGTACATTTTGCACTTCGGGACACCGAAAACCATTGTGAGTGAGCGAGACCCGCGCTTCATAAGTACTGAATGGAAGGACTTCACATCCCAACTCCTTGGCCTCAAACTGCACATGACATCTAGTTGACATTTTGAATCCAACGGTTTGGCTGAGGAGATTAATCAGACGGTGTTTCAACTTCTCCGTGCTTTAATTGTCCCGGATCGGGAAACGTGGGATGAAGAGTTGTATTCGATTAAGGGGTTGTACAACAACTCCATTCGTTCATCTACTGGCATGACGCCAAATAGGCTGAATTACGGTTGGCAGATCTGTAATCCGCTCTCCTATCTATCCCTGAACAGCCGGCTGGTGTAACGCCTGACAAGCCTGGCTTCAGTGCCAAGTATGATCGCTTGCTCAAGGTAGTCATTGCAACAATGACCAAGTGACAACACGCCATGATCCATTATGTGAATAAGAAGCGCACATCTTCGACTATCGAAGTGGGAAGTCATGTCTGGGTCAAGATGTCTTAATTTTCGGAAGAAGAGGGGGTGTCACATAAACTTCTCCCTCTCTATTATGGTCCATGGGAAGTTTTGGACGTGATTGGTGATGATAAGTTTGGTCCTTCATACGTAATTGTTGTGCCTCCTCATCTGCACACGTACCCCGTCTTTCATACGTCAAAGTTGTTTATGTACCGTGATGCTAAATCTTTCGACTATCGTGAGGACATGATCCCTCGTGCATTCAACGGCGGTCACGAGATCGATAGAATTAAAAAACACATAGGGAAGGGACGTAACAGACAATATCAGGTTCATTTCATGTACCGCCTGTTGGACGACCTCTATTGGATCTCTAAGAAGGAACTGCTGCGCAGTGTGCCTCACGTTGTTAAAGCATATCAACGACATATAGCCTCTAATGCTGTACCAAAAATTTCTGCAAAACTCACTACTACTGAGTACTTACGAAATCTCTTTGCTATGTTCGCTTACGATGGGTTTGTTGGGGACTCAGAATGAGTTACTTGCTCGAAGGGACCTCACTCTTGAGAGGGGGGTAGTGTAATGACCTGCCAAACACGGACTGAGACACAAAACTGATTTCTGAGTCTTTGCCAATGGAATGCATGCCTTGCTGATTTTCCTGCTTGTTGCTGAGTTTTCTAAGTCTGAGTGTGTGCGTGCTTGCTGATCTGCATGCCTGTCTGAGTGCCTGTTGGCTTCAGTATGTGTGTGACCCGCAAGGGGACTTGTTCGTTCGGAAGGCCTAAAGGGCCGGTACTGACCTGTGGCTGTGGCATTGAGGGTTGCAAAGGGGGAAAACACTCCAGTGGAGGGGAAAGAGGCCCGCAACACTTAGAGCAACAGAAAACACTCAAGTAGCAGGTAGGCCGGTGCCACACCAGGTAGAGGTAGATGTGCCGGGTACTCGACGTCGAGCCGAAGAAGACAAAGTTGGCATTTTTAGTGGCCCAGTAATTGTAGGTTAGGTCTAGGCGGGTACCAGTCCAACCAGTCTGAGTCTATGGCCTGTACGGGCAATATTAGAGTTTGCATTTATGTTTCCCTCCGAAAGGGAGGAGGTACCGGTTGCTTGGAGGCTGTGCGGCCTAGGAAGTCACTCGCCAAGAGGCAAGTGGGCCGCTATATCTCCAGGAGCAGCGAAGTGCTCCTCCTCATTGTCGGTGTGCAAGTTTGGCGACACACTGGTTGGAGCGCTTGCTGGAGCAGCGCTAGCACAAGAGCTGCGCTGCTGGGGAAGGAGCAAGGACAGCAGGAGGAGGGAGACAAGGACTAGGAAGGGGGGAGCGCCAGAGGTGCTTACCCGGCTATGGTGGTTGCCATCTTCATCACTTTGGTGGGCGCTGCAGCAGGAAGGCCCCAGTTGGGTTAGAGCTACACCAAGCAACTTCGAGGCAGAGTTAGGCATGGCAGCCTGAGCTAGAGCAGCCATAGCTGCTTTGTGTTGTCCTTTGCACAGCAGGACGATGCCCTGGTCGTCCGCCATAGCCTCGGCCATGAAAGGAGGAGGAAGAACGGTGGCCATGGCTGTGGTGGACCTCAAGTGATACCTGCAGTAGAAGAGGGAATCGGACATTGATTCTGGTTCAGCCATCAGCCATCCAACAGTATTATTATTATTTCTTGTTTGAATAAGAGGGGCGGAGATATGGAGGAGGAGAGTGGTTGGTGAAGAAGAAGAGCATTATCATTGGTCTATGCTGGTGTACATCATCGTCTTCTTCTTTCTTTCTTCTTCTCCTTCTTCTTTCCCTCTCTCTCCTGTCAAGTTCATTCATGTCTTTTTGCAATTGGACGGCATTGTACTTTCTGATGAATGAGTACTTCGAAATTGGCCAGGATCATAACATTCTTCTTCTTCTTCTTCTTCTTTCGTTTGTTCTTTCTTTCACCGACAGATTAATTGACAGAATCAATCTATCTGACAGACAGACAGACAGACAGACAGGCAGACAGGCAGGCAGACAGACAGACAGAGAGACAGTCAGACAGACAGACAGACAGACATACAGACACACAGAGGGGCAGACAGACAGACAGACGGACAGACTGATACATAGACAGACAAACAGACAGACAGACAGACAGACCGAAAGACTGATACATAGATAGACAGGCACACAGACAGATAGACAGACGGACAGACGGACAGACGGACACACAGACTGACAGACTGACTGGCTGACTAAGTCAGAGACTATCTGACAGAGGGGGTGTTCTAATTGACAGACTGACTGTGTCTGTCTGCCTGTCTGCCTGCCTGCCTGCCTGCCTGCCTGCCTGCCTGCCTACCTGCCTGCCTGCCTGCCTGCCTGCCTGCCTGCCTGCCTGCCTGCCTGCCTGACTGCTATTCAAGGTCCTCCTTGACTCCTATAGAGGTGCAAGGTCTGCCAGGCTCTGCCTGCTACTCCATGAGCTATCCCTCTTCCTACCTATCCAGAATGCCTGCAAGGTCTGCCTGCAATGTCTGCCTTTCTACATAAGTTCTCGCTCATGTGCAATATTCCCCCTCCTATTCAACCATGATTTGCCAGAGCGGTTTGACACTAATCGCATTGGCTGTACTCATACTAGAGCTGTTTCACGAGTCTGGCGGTCATGGGGTCAAAGACATTCCATAATACTTGAGAGGGAGTATGCCCTCAACAATACTAGTTATTAGCAAGAAGTCAACTGCTTGCTCCTGTATCAGACAGCTGAGTTTGGCTCTGCGCTTGTGGGTTGAACTCCTTCCTTGTGATGCAGGTTCAGCAGGCCTGCGGCGGTGCAGCGCGGTCGACGTCCCATTTCTCCTCAATCCCAAGCCTTTGGAGATTCGGATTCGGCAGTAAGGACTTGTCCCATCGTTTCTGAATCCCCGATGGTGTGGGGCAACGGATAGGTGAACGAGGAGTTGAGGCTTTGAGGCTCCTCCATAGCCATCTGAAAGATTGTATGGAACTGAGCGATGAGCCCACAACTAACCCCCGTACTACCGTCTTCACCTGAATAGAACACCCGGTCATTATAGCTGTATTTGGGGCTACTTTCAGTCTAGATACAGAGATAATTACCGGGCGTTCTATTCGGGTGAAGACGGTAGTCGTACGTTACTCTATTGCAGGGCCCAAACTAACGGCCATTCATCGCAATGTCAGTGTTAAGCCACCACTCCAACAGCGCCTGCACTGCTCATCTTTCTTCTCTACGAGTACCGGGCCAAAATCTACAGTGTCCACCATGTCCAGGACCACAATTACTTGTTCTCAGGGCGCGACACTGTTGTAGATCTTAGGCTCGGGGAAATGCAACTTTTGGTTTGTGAAAATAGGTCCAGACTCCAGATGATGTGGTGGCTTAAAATAGATCCCTGTTTCTCTCATACGTCATGGGCTTCTGGAAGTTGTGTGGAACTGTGCTATCTGATAGCATAGTATGTGCTATCTGATAGTATGTGGAATGCAATAATAAATTAATAATACAGTGGTAAGACTAGTAGACTGCATGCACTGATGTACTACGCGTCAAGCAGCTGAGGGTGCCACTGGGGTGACCATTTTCTTCCCTCCCCCCCGCCTCCCTCCCACCCTCCCAACCCCCCCTTCCCCCCTTCCCTCCCTCAAGACCATTTGGCTCCAGTCTATTGGTGGGGAAGCCCTGGCTGCTGAAAACCGGGGTTTGACTGGGTCCAGCCACTGGCCTGACTTTGAGTTTCCAGTAGAGAGGGTCAAATCCGCAAAGAATCATGGCGCTACTCGGTTCTGAAGTGTTTGTAGGCGCCGCTGTGGGCGCTCTGTTCGGTCAGCTGGGAGCAGAGATCACGATCTTCGGAAAAGGAGTGACAAGATTCTGCAAAGAATGCCCGTCACACGAGGAAGTATGCCATGAGATCGAAGTGGATATTCTCCTCGTTAAGCCCGTGATAGAGGATCTTCAGCGCTCAGTGTCTGCGTCATCGGTGAATGCTGTGGCCAGTGAGACAATAAAAGAACATGTTCGTAACCTGCAAAATGACGTCCGTCAAATGCATCTAGACCTAGAAGAGATTCGGATTCGGCAGTCGGGAGTCGTCTCATCATTTCTGAAGCAGATCGTGTGGGGCAACGGATGGGTGGACAAGGGATTGAGGACCCTCCAGAGCCGTGTGAAAGATTGGATTTCCAAATACCACATGCTTAGTCCAGTGCTTATCTCCGAGGTCCGAGAGATGGTTGCCGAGCTGTCACAAGACGGAGCGCGAGCGGGGCTCCAGGTGAACGAGGTCCATGAGATGGTAGGTAAGATACTGCAGGCCGTAACTCCCGCCGAACCACCGGGATCACATCCAGTTGCACCCACCGGCGCTGTGGCCGCTACACCGTCGACACGGTTTTCCGGTACTCTGCCGTTACCAGGCGGAGTGGCTGCTACTTCTGTGTGTGGCGTGGTCCCCACACACGGAGTTCCTACTGCTCCTAAGGCGGCGTATTTCCCCCCAATACCGGTTGAAGGCCACCTGTATGGCCTGGATGAAGGTAGTTGGGAGGTGCAATGGACATTGCGTCATGGGCAGTACGAGTCCCCCCATGCGCCGTCACAGCCTCGACAGGGGCCAGAGATCGTTTGCATCCACGGTATGGGTGGGGTGGGGAAGACCACACTGGCAAAGCTTGTTCACAATAGCGAGGAGATGAAGGGCCATTTTCCTAGTGGCAGAGTGTGGGCCGTCTGTGGGCAGTTGAATACGGGCTTTCAGGTCCTTCAAGGGCTATGGCGGAAGTGGTGGAAATTGACGCAGATAGGTGAGCCGCCCTCACTGGATGACCAGATCGAGGGGGAGAGTAGATTGAATGAGATTTTGAGCGGAAAGAAGGTTCTTGTTGTCATCGACGATGTGTGGCGGCCCTCTCAGATCGATTGGGTTGAAAGAGTGCTTCCCAGAAACTGTAGTGTGATAATCACAACCAGGAACGCAGGCGTGGTCCCCACACATGGAGTGGTGGGTCACCAGGTAAAACCCTTGGGAGATCGGGAGTCATTGAAACTGCTTTGCCAGTGTGCGTTCGGGACAGAGTTCCCGCCACCGGAGCTAAGCGCAGTTGTTGAGCAGGTGTGCCAGCGCTGTGGGGGTCTGCCCCTGGCCCTCCGGGTGGTGGGCGGAAACTTGTCCACACACTGCGAGGACGCTGACATGTGGGAGAGTTGGCTTGAGTTCCTCGATCCGTCCCAGAAGCGCTGCCAAATTCAGCCTGGATCTAACTATACCGATTTCGAGGAACGAGTTATAGGGGTGCTGCAGAGATCGATTGATGCATTGAAGCGCGAGAACCCAGTCTTTCTAGATATGTTCCTTGACTTGGTGGGTTTTCCAGAGGATTATCGGATACCGCGCAATGTGATTGTTGCGCTGTGGTCCATTTATCCAACAGTCGGGGACATGAGAAGTGCGAAGCACAGGCTTGAGATATTTATCAGGTTGTCACTGGTCGAGGTCCAGGACGACAATCACGTCAGTTTGCATGACATGACGCGGGAAGCAGGGATTTTCATGATCAGATCACCAAGCGAACCGCCCGTGATGTTGGGTAACCTCGATACGCTGGCCAATGATGACGGCGAGAGCACGTCTGGCGGGCAGCAACGACTGTTTCTGACGGGCAATGAATGCGATGGCGACTTGGTAGCAAGGCATGTGCAGAACGTCAGGAAACTCTCGTGGGTAGCACCGGAGTTTCTTACCAAGAGGAATGAAGAGACTGGAACAGACGTGCTATCGTCGGACTCCTGGACTATGCCAAGGTTGGTGAGCTTTTGTGCCTTCTGGAATGAATCCGATGTGAAGTTTCATGAAAGATGTCAGATTGTCTGCCAGCAGTTTCTCCGCAGGATTGCCGAGAGCGCGGAGCTCCGCATATTGCTGCTACTGAATCTGAGTCCTTACGCTCTAGTTTCTGACTGGTTCGCAACATTGCCGAACCTTCAGGTCCTGATCGTCGAGTTCCCTCTCCACTTCCAGTACCTGCCAACGATCTTCCCATCCTCAGTTGCTCGGCTGCACAACTTACGGGTGCTTGACATCAGGTTCAATGGACTGCAGCCCATGGCAGTTGACCCGGTGGCGATCGAGAAACTTGCCGCGTTAAAGGTCTTAAGAATAATGCGCTTCAACTTGCTCGGCGCAACAGATGACATGAGCGGAGATGATGCCGATGATTCGGCAAGCGACATGTCACTTCCGGTCGAACAAGTTCCCGCTGCCGTCGTCGACAAGCTCTTGATGCCAGACCTGGAGGAGTTTGTGTTCGAGTGCAAGGGTCTCCGGGACACGGGTTTATCACCCACGATAGGGAAGCTCACAGCGTTGCGCTGCCTCAAAGTGTCGTGGTGTGACGAACTCACAAGAGTTCCGCCGGAGATCGGGAACCTGCGCAACCTGGTGAAGTTGACCATATCACACTCATCCCTTGGCGAGCTGCCCGCTACGATTGGGCAGCTGCAATGCTTAACGAAGATGGTGGTTTTCGTTTCAAGTCTTGAATCGGTTCCCGAAGAGATTGGAGACCTCAGGATGCTGGCTCGTCTCGACATCTCCGTGGCTGAGCTGAAAGCAGTGCCGACGACCATCGGAAACCTATCGGGCCGCTTGGAACATCTGGACTTTGCATGCGCTTTGGCAAAGATCGAGGAAATTCCAAAACAGATAGGGCAATTGACTAACCTACGCAAACTTGACCTTCAGGGTGCCACGCTCATCACTTCGCTCCCGTCGGAAATCTCGAACCTGCACAAGTTGAAAAGCTTAGGCCTATCGGAATGCGAAAGTATCGAGGCCTTACCGGATGGTATCGCACAACTCACCAATTTGGAACTCCTTGATCTCGACGGATGCGCACAGCTGGAAGGTCTGCCGGAGGAGTTTGGCAACATGTCAAAGCTGAAGGAACTCAGATTGAACGGGTCAGGCATCGTTGAGCTGCCCGCGTCCATCAGCAGGCTAGAGTGGCTGAGAACGCTTCATCTTCAGGACTGCCAGCAATTGTATGAGCTGAGAGTTGAACTCGGATGTCTGACGCGTCTCAAGGAACTATACTTGGATGCATCGTCTATAACAGAGATCCCTCGCTGGATTACGAATCTTCTCCGATTGACCAAACTCGGTCTTCCGCCGGTGACGCATCTGCCTGACGAAATCGGAGATATGGAAAGTCTGGAGACGCTGGTCCTAAAAAAATCCGACATTACAGACCTGCCGGCCTCTCTGGGACGGTTGCACACGCTGACGGACCTGGATCTCCAAAATTGCAAGCAATTGACAAGGCTTCCCGCAGAAATCGGATGTCTGTCGCAACTGGAAAGGCTTGGCTTGAGGGGCTCGGGTGTAGTCGATCTACCTTCCTCGATAAGCGGGCTGCAAAGGCTGGCAAAGATCTTCCTTCAGGAATGCACCCAACTGACCCGACTACCGCCGGAGCTGGCATGTCTTCCCGAGCTCAAGGAGGTAAAGCTGGAGGCATCTGGTATACCGGAGCTGCCGTCCTGGCTCAGCAGCAGGTTGGTAAAACGAGCGGCAGCAAAGAAACACAGCTCTCCCTGACTAGTATTGAACTGGGGACTAAAGCTGATCCCAGACACTATGATCCCGGGTGGAGAACCGCATTCAACTGCGAGTGAACGGGGAACTATTCCCGGCGGGACAATGCGGGGCAATGAGGTGACCCGGCCGGAAGACCTAAATGGATGGATGGATGGTGATTGGCGTGAAGAAATTTATCTCGTCTCCCCATCCGCCGTGTTGTTGTCATAAGAGGACTCAGTGCAAAGAGAGGTCACAGAAGAGCAGGCTTGGATTCTGATTTGAGTTGACAGAACTTTACGGATGGACACAAGACTCGTCTGTCAGTCAGTGGAGGAGGGAGAAAATCAGAAGAATTCAAGAAAAAGAGGAGAGGGTGCAAAGTTCCGCTCCCAACGCGAGCAATTCAATCGTCTTTTTTGGCGTCATACGTAGCTCTTGGTCGAGTGAAAGACATGCGGAAGGGCCCTAGGTAGGGGCACAGAAAGTCAGTCCTGGGGCACAGCAAGTCAGAAGAAAAAGGATTACAAGTATATATATACTCACGCACTCCCCTCCCCATTACGGCCAAGTGGCCCGAGTGGGGGGCATTGATTACTTCCAGAGGGAAGGAAGGATGTAGCACCCCTCACCCCTGCCTTTTGGATGGCATTGATTACTTCCCGAGGGAAGGATGTACCATCGTACCAACCCTCAACCCTGCCTTTTTTTAGGCAGGGGTGAGGGGTGGTACATCCTTCCTTCCCTCTGGAAGTAATCAATGCCCCCCACTCGGGCCGCTCAGCCGTAATGAGGAGGAGCGTGCATGAGCATATACTTGTAATTATTTTTTTTCTGACTTGCTGGTGGAATAGGAACCGGACTCATGTTCCTCAGAATGGAAAGGATCCAGAGCCGCAAGGTTCTACCTTTTTTTATATATATTTTATTTTAAATGTAAACAGGACCTTATGGGTCTGGCTCCATATCCATTCCGGGGAACATCAGTCCGGTTCCTATTCCACCGACAAGTTTGTTTGTTTGTTTTTTTTTTTTTTTTTTTTTTTCCAAAGTAAACAGGGCCTTATGGCTCTGGCTCCATAATAGTCCATATCCATTCGGGGGAGCATCAGTCCGGTTCCTATTCCACCGGCAAGTTAAAACCGGATACAACGCACTCCGAAAGCTTCCCCTCTTTATGGTAGAGAGACCCGAGTGGGCGGCATTGAGTTTTACTTCCAGTATTGGAAGGATATACCTCCCCTCACCCCTCTGCCTAAGTTAGCTTGTAAACTTCTTTTTTTTTTTTTTTTTTTTTTTTTTTTTTTTTTTTTTTTAATCCGATCGTCTGTCGTTTCCTTCCCCCCTCAACCTGTACTACTTAGTTCCCCTTCCTCTGAATCCCCTCCCTTTAATTTAAATTCCCCCTTGTCCCTTTGGTACTTCTGTTCTGCTAAAACCTTAAACCCTACAAACCCCTTTTGATATCAGGCCTTTGTTCTGCCGTGCAGTCCTTTTTTCAATCCATTGGGGCCTCCTCCTCTTGTTGTTGCTTCTGGGTCTCTACTCGCGGTCCCCACTGAAATGTGAGACTAGTGCCCTCTGTTGTAGCCAACTTGCCTCTGCCTAGAGTTCCTTGCTCAAACCTGGCTTTTGGTTCTTTTGCCCCCGTGGGGTTGTCCGACATCTTCTTCCTTGTCCTTTTTTTTTCCATTGAGCTTGTATGTCAGTCTCCCCTTCAGATTAATTAGAATTTCACGTGCCGGCTGTATGTGCATTTGCCTCTGTTCTATGGACCAGGTCCGTTGGCATTCCGTTTTGCCATATTGTCCAAAGTGCATACTGTCTCAGCAGACAGATTGAAAGTCCTCCTTCCGTACCCCTGCCAGTTCTTTGGCATGTCTGTTCCCAGCAGTAAGGTTCCCATATCTTGCGCCGGGAAGGGGACATCATCCGTGATTCTGGCCCACGGTTCCATTGCGATTCGCCATATTTGCCACACACAATTCCCTCTGGCGTCGGCGCAGTCCAGCAAGCAATGCTTTACCGACTCCCACTAGTCCTCGTGGCATGCGGTGCCGCACACAATTCCCTCCGCTGACTTCTATTTTCTTGATTGCTTCTTTTATGTAACCACTCGTTGACTGGGAGCGCCAGATGGATGATTAACCGCTGCAAGCTTCTCTTTCTCCCAAGCCTGATGCCTGATGCTGTTCAGCCCTGACCACGGGAAGGGTTTAACCCGCGCTGGAGATATTCCCGCTTTGTCCTCCCAGCGCTTTATTCCCATTTTTGCATCCCTCAGTGGGTGGTCGCTTGCTCTAAGTTTGTATCCCAGCTTTGTTGTGTGGTTAAGTATATTTGTTCCGAGTCCTACATTTAGTCTTCCTCCTCTCTCTCTCCCTGGGCATTCTCCTCCCTCTCCCTGGGCCCACTCTGCTGGATCCAGCTCCAGGTCCTGGAACCTGGTTGTGGGCCAGCTCCCGGTCCCGCAACCTGCTGTGCTGGTTCCAGGCCCACTCTGCCGGATCCAGCTCCAGGTCCCGCAACCTGCCGTGCTGGTTCCAGGCCCACTCTGCCCCGGATCCAGCTCCAGGTCCTGCAACCTGCCATGCTGGTTCCAGGCCCACTCTGCCGGATCCAGCTCCAGGTCCCGCAACCTGCCGTGCTGGTTCCAGGCCAACTCTGCCCCGGATCCAGCTCCAGGTCCTGCAACCTGCCGTGCTGGTTCCAGGCCCACTCTGCCCTGGATCCAGCTCCAGGTCCTGCAACCTGCCGTGCTGGTTCCAGGCCCACTCTGCCGGATCCAGCTCCAGGTCCCGCAACCTGCTGTGCTGGTTCCAGGCCCACTCTGCCGGATCCAGCTCCAGGTCCTGCAACCTGGTTGTGGGGCAGTAAATCGTGAATTCCTCCGACTCCAGAACCCACACTTTCCCGATCATGTCTGCTCTCTCACCGAAACCGGAGTTTTTGAGTCCTTGCTAAGTCTACTCGTTGTGGATCCTGGTTCCTCGATCTGGTACATGTCGGTGCACAGCCAGACCTGCTGCGGGCCCTCCCTTCCGTGGGACTCGGATGGCCCCAGTCCCTTCGGTTCCGCTGCCACGACCCCCAGTCCCCGAACTCCCATTGGGGCCCCTTGTGCACTAATCTCTTCCATTCCCGGGGGGATGGATATCAATAAGGGATTGGCGTTCTCTCTAGTTGCTTGTGACTGCTGCGGAGGTCCTTTCTTAGCTCTCTTGCGGTTTTAAACACCGTCTTTCTTCCTCTGACCATAAGTGCTTTATCTGCCACACTCCGTGCTCCAGCCATGTCCCCCATCTTGAGTCTTGGTGGGCTGACAGGGTGCTTGGTCTCCCTCGCTCACCTCATCCTTGAGCCATTGATTGCAGAACAGTGGGTGGCGTAGAACTTCTTCTCTTGGTCTTGGCTCGTGAACTTTGGGCGGGAAAATGTTCCCCCATAGCTTTAGTAAGTGGCGCCAATATCTTCCCCCTCCCTCTCCCTGGGCATTCTCCTCGCTCCTATTTCCTCTCTTCCCTGTCTTCGCCCATCCTTTGCACGTGAGCCAGAAGAGCCCCGTCATATTATGTGGAGTTTTTGTACTTGGCCATTTCTTATACTTTGGAGGGCCAAGGACGCCCATGGTAGTCTGTGATTTGTGATCAGTTCGATCACTCATTTGGACTGTAGTGCTTGGATTTGTCTTTCTGGGTGAATTATACCCCCAGACCCCCCTTCCCCTGGCTCTTCGTTACATGCTTCCCTGCTACCTTTGAGATAGTCTGCTGCTTGGAAGGGTTGTCTGACCATAGGTAAGCTGCTTCCTTTCTCCTCCGTGTCGATCCCACTCTCGGTATGCGGCTCCGTATCGTTCCTGCGTACCAGAGCATTGAGAAGATTGAGGCATTGAGCACCATCACCCTGAGCCCAATAAAGCAAAGTATATATTGTCGGCCAGGCGCCCAATTTAGCTAGCTAGCATCCTTGCTAGTAGTAAGTAGCTCAGGCGCTATCGATCGATGTGGGCCTGTCTCTGTCCGTTTGGGCCCATCTCTGTCAGTTTGACTCCAAGGTATCTCAATGGCTCGGTCGGGTCCATCCACTGCATCCCTTCCGTGCCTACTAGTGCTCCGGGGGGTGCTGCTACGGTAGTACCTCCTCCCCCGTCAGCCACCATCCCACCGTCTTTTTTGGCCAGTTGATCCTCAACTCTGATGCCAGCTGAAAGGCATGCATTGCTCCCGTCAGCGCTTAGAAGGATGAATCTGATGCCCTGATTAACACTGTTAGGTCGTCTGCAAAGAGTATCGTCGCCGGAATCAAAATTTCTCTGTGCCTTGCTGCTCTGGTTCTACGATCAACCTTTGAATTGACGGGTCTTTTCTTAGGAAGGAGGCTACTGCTTCCGTTATTAAAAAAAAAAAAAAATAGGAAGACGGGGGCTTCCAGAGGGTCCCCCTGTCGTACTGATCTCGACATCCTGTATTTCTCTGACAGGCGGCCGTTGCCTTGTACTTGTCCATCATGCGCATTATTCTATAGAACCCTTAGCCTTTCTCTTGCCTGCTAGTTGCCTGGCCACTCTCTGAGAGGCCTCAGGCTTGTGACAAGGCCATCAGGAAATGATTCTGGGAACGAGTGCTGCTCTGGATCGTCAGCAGCTAGGCAGACGTCAAGCATCTCAGCGTCATTGAAATGGTTGTTATGTAAGTGACGCTGGACCCGATTTCCAGCAGGTGTTGCTCCCCACCAATAGATGGACCCTCCCCGGGGGAGATAGAGCCGTCTGCTCGTACCACCAGCACCCCTATCTCCCATACGGGCTGTTGTTAAAAAAAAAAAAAAAAAAAAAAAAAAAAAAAAAAAAAAAAAAAAAAAAAAAAAAAAAAAGCACTGCCTGTCGCATGTCCGGAGTGTGTATACTAGAGTTGCTTATCTTGTACAAGCTCCTAGTATAGAATAATCAAAATAATAATGTAATCAGGAGTTTTAATCTCACGGAACAGATTACATCATTGCGTAGCGCCACCTGCGCTCACAGTCCTTCTACTCCTTTGTACCGCTCAGACTGCGTTC